GGGAGGGGGCTGCGCTGGCTAGGCCCTCCAGGGGTACTCATTCACTTCTGGTTTTGCCACTGGTGTTTCTGCTGCCACCCCCCCCCGCAACTCGGTGATCAGCCACAGATGGTGGGATGCCAATGGAAGTATTGGTCCCTGGGCGCCGGAGACCCATGCTACACCACTGGGCACAATTTAAAGGCTCTGGTGGTATGCAGTGGGGTTCAGCGCAGGTACTCTGCCCTGTCTCAGAGACAAAGGAGTTTTTATTTGTATTCTAGAGCTACTTTTAATGTCATGCTTTACGATACTATGTAATAGCAGATGGAGACAGTTCTAAAAGAGAGCTACACATGAAGAAAACTGTGGCAGGAGGTGTGTGGGGCAGAGGGTGTATGGGTCTTTCCAGAGTTTGGCCTCTGCCCCAATGGTTCAGGGCTTGTCTGGATTCACCAGAGCTTGGCCCAATGGCCTGAATTGGCCCTGCACTGTCAGGGCTGTGCACTATCCCTGACTGCCCCTGTGCCATTGGGCTCACCAGAGCTCAGCCCCAACCCCAATGGCACAGGGATGGCCCCCAAGCCCTGGCCCTCCAACCTTTCCCCCCTTCCAACCACCCCGGATCCCATAGACTTACCTGTATGCAGCTGCCGGAGCTGCTCCCATTACCCTGCTTGGCTGTACTGCCAGCCACGTGCGTGAACGTGCACACACATGCATGGCACCTGCAGCCCTGGATTTTTTCCCCTTTACCTGCCTGTTCCCTTTCTATAACAAAACTGATGAACATTAAATCTGGGAGGTGGGGGTGGCGAGTGCCTCCCCATGCCCTCCCAAAACATCACCAATGCTTCTTTTAATATATCTCCTTTAATAGTATGGCTAGAAGATGAGGAGGCTGTTTTATAGTTCAGGATGGTTTTAGCACATAAGTGAGCTGAAGGGGATCTTTTGTCTTCTATTACTGCAATGCAGCAACTATTAAGGCAATTACATGCGTTGTGTCTGTGTGCACGTGCAAGGGAGAGAGGGAGTGTTTCATTATTTGCAGGCTAGCCCAGTGATTCTTCAGCTTCTCTTAGTGAACTGTTTTTAAAAGACAGCACACTTTTACAGACCCCCACTCCCCCACCAGTCCCTCAATGACAGGTTCCCAAAAATATTTAAGTTTGACCTCCCAAGGACAACCCTATGGTCCTCTGCTTCTGCAGGAAGGGCAGGGATGGAAATGACAACGTTTTGCTCAAAAGGACTCTGCTACTGCTGTATGTTTCTGTCATGAGGTGTGTAATAGCTGAATTATCTCGAGTTACAGATATATATAGGATTCTGCTTAAATTGTAGCTTCACACATTTCACAGAAACTGAGATTTGGGGTTGCCCACAAAATCAACAACAAAAAAACGCTTAAAAACTGGTTCTCCAATGGGAGCCAGTGGTCTTCACTGCTGCTGTGGCCCAGCCTTGCAGCCTGCCCAGGAGGGGAAGGCCCCAGCTGGTGGGGAAGCATGAAGGGCAGCAGAAAAGATGGCAGCTGCTCCCTCACCCCTTGTCCCTCCTCCCTACCCCTTTGCCCCCCAGGGCCTCTCCATCAACTGGTACTGAGGGGCAGGGCCGCACAAAGGGCAACCAGCAGTCAAGATGGCAGCCGCCTCCCTGTACCTCCCCCCGTCTGGGGCTTCCCCACCAATCAGTGGCAAAGGGCAGGGCTGCCAGGACATGCCCATGAAATTGGTTCTTCGTGCCATGACCACGCCATGAAAACTGCTTCGTCTTATCACAAGTTAAGCAGACCCCAGTTATATATACCAAGTTTAAGCTCCAGAAGGTTAATGGAGGTTAAACTTGGGTATTTGATTGCCCTTTTAGAGCCTTGTCCAATATGGAAGATATTTAAATGTGTATGTTAATTGTATTGGCATAAAGCAGAGTGTTCATGATCTAGTGTTCAGCTGAATACTTGCTCTCCCTCTACTTTGGGGGGTTATTTTCATAGCTTTTTCTTAGGAT